AGATCTATTTATTATAGTAGAAATAAATATATTTAAAGAAATAATTATTAGCCTATTCTTTTAATAGAATTTAGAAATAGGCCTTTAGTATTCTATAGCTTATTTTCTAAAACTATATTTCTAGTAAAGCTTAATTATAATACATATAATAAGAAAATACTTGTTATAATATAAATACTAGAGAAATAAAAAGCCGAACTAGAGGATTTTTAAAATATTCTTTTTAGAATCTATTCTAATTATTATATTTTAGAATATTTTATAATTACTAAAAAGCTTTCTTTTTAATAAACTAAATAGGCTAAGCTTTTATTGCGCTATTATTTTAAGCTTATATATTATTCTAGAAAATTAAATAAAATAAATATTTAGAGCTAGATTAAATAAAAGCTATAAACTCAAGTATTTCTTTTTAGAAATAAGATTAATTCGGAGATTATTTATAACTTATAGCTTATAGTAATACTTTATAAAATTAGCTTATTTAATCTGAAATTTGGCTCTAAAAACCAAGTATATATTAAAGACTTTTATAAAATATATATCTCTATTAAAGATATAATTTCCCTAAAAAAAGGTATTTTCCTAAAAGCTTTACTAATAGCCTCTATTATAATTGCTTCTATAGAAGTATTATTAGAAGCTTTTACTAAATATAATAGCTTATAACTAGTAAATAAGATCTTATAGAATAATTATATATTACCGGATTTAGAAAAGTTATATATAATAGCCTAAGCTAAAAGTAATATCTAAATACTATAAAATAGCCTTCTTTTATATTATAGAAAACTCTATATTATAAAGAATAAAATAATTCCCGGATTACTTTTATAAATTACCCTAATTTATAAAATATATAATAAACTTCTTTCTAGATATTCTAGATATATAAAGCTTTATTAGCTATTTAAAAAGTAATATTACTAGTTATTTATAGATAAGAATATTAATTAATATTATAATAACTACTATATTTATAGAAGATTATATATATCTAGAAATAAGAAGCCTAATTTACTTTATTTTCTTTTAATTTCTAATTATTTCTAATAATATATTACTATAAACTTTAAAAGCTATTTAGAAAACAAATCGGGCTATAATATAATTATTATATTCGTGAATTATTTATTTAAGCATCTAATTATAATTCCTATATAAGATATAATTATAGCTAAATAGCTAGTACTTTTATTTTTACTTTATATAATATACTAAATAAATATTTCAGAAATAATTATATTAAATTAAGAACTTTAATTTATATTCGATTTTTAAAGCGAATTCTATATAAGAATTAGTATAAAGCTTAAGCTTTTAATAGCTAATTATTCTTAAATAAATAAATAAATAGAAATTATTAATTAGTATTTTAATTAGAGATTATCTATATATTAACTATTATTAGAATAATTGAAATAAATAAATTACTATAATTAATTATTAATAAGCCTCTTTTTAGTATAAAACTATTAGCTAGTTCCTATTTATAACTAAAAAAAAGCTATAAACCTCGTATTTCTCTAAACTAGAACTCCTCTATTAAAGCTAGTTTACCTAAAAAGAAACTAAATAGAAATAAAGCTAAAGTATTAATAAATTAATTATATAAATTATAATAACTTGCCTAAGGTTATATAAAGCAAATATAGAAATAATATATAATATAAGCTAATAAATACTATTATCTAATTAATTTCAAAATTAGAAATAAAGTATAAATTATTATAAAGTACTATAAATTTAATTATTCGAGCCGGAAACTAGAGAATTAAATAGAGGGCCTATTTGAGATTCTAAAATAGTATAATTACTTATTTCTTCTAAAGCTACCGGAAATTATAAAGATATATCTAGTTTTCTATATAAAAAAGCTATAAAAGAATTTTTAGAATCTTTTACTAGATTAAATAAACCCGGAACTGCTTTTATTAATACTAAAGAATAGTAAATAAAAGTATAGTATTAAATAAATTATTATAGTTAAGCTAGTAAGAAATAAGCTAAAGTATAGAATCTAGTAAGTTAATTAAAATAAGAATTTAGTATAATATTTAGTTTTAGTACTAAATAATAGTTTCCTGGTTTTATAAAGCTTCTATAATAATAATATTAATATACTAGAATCTTTCTAAAACCTATAATATTAGCTAGATTATATAAAAAATAATACTTATCTAGAATTATATAGAAATAATAATAAACTCTTCTAAGTTATATATTAAAAGCACTTGCCTTTTATATATAATATTTATATCCGAAATACTAGTTTATTTTAGGAAAAGAAATAATACGAAATTAGATAAATTAATAGCTTTTATAAAGCTCGGAAACGAGCTTATTTTAAAGAGAGAAATAATATTATAATTCCCAGATATCTAATTAGATATCTTCTAGATATATATAATATAACTACTTTATTAGAGAAATATATTTGAAATATACTAGAAATATTTAGAAAACTAAGCCCCTTCGGAACTAGTATATTATAGGATATATATATTCTCTTATAACCTTTTATATTCTAGTTTTCTTTTTCTTAGCTTTAAATTATCTTTATAAAGAACTTTCTATCTTACTTTTTAAGCCCTAAATACTATATTTATAATAACTTATATTATATATTTATTACTAAAATATTAAATATATTAGAATTAGCTTAAAATAATAAATCTAATATATAATATTCTAATAAAAAAAAGTATTATATAATTACTTTAATTAAAAGTAATCCAAAATAGCTTACAAAAAATAAATAGATAAATAATTCTTTATATTATTTTAATCTAGTATTAATAAGCTAATTAGTATTTTTTCTATTAGTCCTATATTTCTATATAATTTATTAGATATTTTCTTTAATAAGATTTAATTTTTGAAATACTATAATATTATATATATTATTAAGAATTATATATATATTAAATCTTTAATTAAACTATTTATAAGTTATAAGAACCCTGAACTAAATATAGGTTACTTAATCTAATAATAGGGCAAATATATATTTAGCTTAGAAAAGTATTAATAAAATTATAAAAATTAGTTCTTATAAATTCTAGAGAATTCTAGCCTTAGCTATTTAGTAAATTATATCTTTTAAGCTATTTATTTATATGGCTTTTTTAAAGAAATAATTTATACTTTATTAATTATTTAACTATATAAAAAATAGCTTCTTAAAAGAGTCTTTTTAATAATATAACTAGTATAACTTAATATTATATCTGAAATAATACAAAATTTTATTTACTTGCCCTATTTACTTTTAAAATTTTAGTTACTAAAATATTTAAAGAATTAGAAAATATAATACCTTTAGCCTTTTACTAATTTATTTTAGATACTAGAGGCTTTTTTGCTCGGTTTTAAGTTATTTAGAGCCTTTAATTAATCCGGTTTTAGTAATATAAAAAAAGAGTAAAATAGAATAAAATAATAAACCTTATTTATATTTTATTCAAATATATTTTTTATTACTTATACTTTATTTAATACCTTAATTACTCTGGATTATTTTAGAATAATTAAGTAATATATATATAATATTATATATAATAAGCTAGCTTAATTTAGTAAGGCTCTGAAATAACCCAGGCCTAATACTAGTATATTATCTAATTAAATAATAATAAGACTTAGTAAATAAGGTAGAACTTTAATAATATCTTTAAGCTTTCTTAATTACTAGAAGGAGATCTTTCTCTCCTTTCCTAAAATGCTTCTATTATATTCAAACTATATAACAAACTTAATAAGAGTACTTTTATAAAGCGTATAATATAGCAGGGTGCTATATAAGTAGTTAAGGTAAGGAGTGGAATCCAAGATAAAGTATGGAGTGAAGCGTGGAAGTATAATTGATTCCAAGAACTGATTCCAATAGATAAACTAATCAATGCCCATTTCCAAAGCTCGCATGCCTCTATATATAGAATTTAGTATTCCGCTGGATGTACGGAAATACTGGTCCTAATTAGGGAATGCGATCCCATATAAGTACTAGCCTAAGTAGGCTACCAAATCCAGCTGGACGTTTGCTATCAATGTGCGCATTACAACTTTTGAGATAATATCTTGCTTAGAAAGCCAGGTATTATTTAAAGACAAATTAAAAGAAGAAGAAAAGCAAAAAGAGAAAAGAAAAGAGAAATTCTAAGGAGAAATATTAGTTTTTTATAAAAGAAAAGTAGTATTTAAATAGCCTTATATAAAGTCTATCTTAGTTTATATAATACTATTTAATAAGTAATTTGTTTATTTATTAATAATTAAATAAATATTAATTTACTAGATTTATATAACTTGCACGTGACTACTCTTGAGTGACTCTAGAGTAGCTTGAGTAGCTTGAGTAGCTTGAGTAGCTTGAGTAGCTTGAGTAGTTTTTTCCCACACTGGGTTTTGGTCACGCTCACGTGTTCCTGTGAAACTTTCTTTTTATACGGAGTGTTTCCGTGCCAGCTTTATTCAAGCCCTCCACATTATCCGGGCCCTTAAGACGAGTTTTGCTCCATAGATAAGTGGCCTGCGTGTTACCTAGTTTACCTGTTTTGCTGCTTAAGAACCTGTGATTGCTCGTGTAATGGGGTTTACAATAAGGGGATTGCTAATGCCACAGTGCAATGCCTAAAACCACAGCCGCTTAGTACTAAGCAGAACCTTGGTTTCAAAGGATCAGAATACAATTCCCTAGCAAAGGTTTGCAACAACGCTCCAGAGCCCGAACTGAAGGGGGGTAGGGGCACCCCACGAGCAGCTTGCTGCCGGCTGGGGATCCCCCCCCCCTGAAGGAGATAGGCGGAGGAGCACGATAAATTAATTATAGAGGTTGCCAATTGAACTTAGGGCGACGGAAAGGCATGCCTGAATTTCTGAGAATTTGAGTACGTTTCTGCCTGCCGACTGTGGTTTTAGGTATTTCACTGTGGCATTAGCAAAGCCCTATAATAATAAAGCATTTGCCAAGGCTTTTGAGAACATTGGAATTCTTCGCAGCGGACCTCCCATAATCATTTTGTCGCTAAGTCAATCTCTTTGTCATTTCATTCCACCCAACTCGTTATTTATTAAAACGTGGTCCCATAAATTGCGGATTACATGTGTCGTTCAATGAATTGCAAAAATCATCTTCTTTCCTGTCTCCAATTCTTGGGCAGCACCACCGAGCATCATCGTCTCCACGAAACATTGTCCAACAAATTCAAAGTGGCCAATGTCGAGGTCTCGAATATCGTAAACATCATCTAGGCAGAGTAAGACAGAATTTGCATTGACCATTGAGCCAACTCACCATACTCGCAACCCCCGTTTTTATCCCCGCTGTTAATACAGCGTTTACAAGCCGGTTTTATACGATCACAAGCTTGGTTTATGCGATCATATTTGGACTGATAAATCTGTTAGCAGAAACAAAACATGAGGGTGATATTCAGGCAGGCCTTGAAATATTGACATCTTCTACAATCCAATTGATGCTTATCAGGCGGTATTTCGTCCGGAGCAAATGCTCCTTGAACTGCACTTTGAGGAATAATCTCTTGAACGCTTCTTGGCCGGAGAACATAGGGAATCGTTGAACCTGCAAGGCATACCACGATGTCACCTGCACGTGTTGACGCTGGGACCAGCGCAGGCCTGCCATCGAGCAACGACGTCAACCGACGACCCTGTAAGACAGATGTGGGTTCCGGATCGAGGGTATCATAAACCAGTAGCGCGATAATAGGATCGGTCTTTGCTGAACGGTAACCTTGCCCAGTATATAAATCAGACCCTGTTGAAGGGAGAAATCGTGCAGTATATATTTCAAGAGACTTTGCTATATTTGTCCTGAATGCGGCATGTCGCTGAGATGACAGTGTTGCGTTTTTCAACGAATCTAGTGGATTTGAAAGTCTTGTATCAAATGCACAGCACAAAGGCGGAAGAATACCAGGACCAAGCTCCTGATCAACCTTGCTCCAAAGCTCCTCGTAGGTCTTGTCATCAATCTGACTATATTCGCAGAGTATAAGTCAGTCCAAGGTCATGCCGGTATGAATGTCCATTTAGACGGGCATTTGTCTGGACAGCAGGAACCCTTCCCTGAAAGTGACCTTCAATGGTCATTTCACATCCCCACGTGTCACTCTTTTCAACCAAAGAATAGTCAACCCACCGATCTTTGAAGAATTGTGCAATATTGAAGCCTCTGAATGGCAGACTGATCTCTGCTGACATCGTATTAACAGGGCTGGCTTTGGCTCCTACACATACAAAGGTCGAGCCAAGCCAGCCATGAGTTGCCTGACGTGGTACAGACCACTTTCTACGCACGTGGTTTATGTTGTATGCGTCTTGAACGAAATACAGGCCCGCCGTGCCCAAGTACTCGGGGATGGTTGTCCACGGCGGGCCGGGCAATGGCACTGTCCAGTCTGGAGCCCATGATGCCATCCCTGGCCGGCGCTTGCCAAGTTCCACATCCTCCGCCAGGGAGAAGATGGAGAAATCACTCTGGTTTTCGAATAAGTATCGAGCAACTTCCTCATACACCTGACTACAGTCTTTGCTGTAGTCAGCTTGAATCAGGTCGCGATACTTTCCCACGACATCGACGGATCGAGCAATAAGTACATGTGCAAAAACAATATCTCGAGGGTCTGTAGCTCCCAAAGCACGACGCGACTGCAGCAATTCCAGTAAAAGCCAATCGCCATACATATAATTCAACTGGCTGTAGAATTTTGTCCGAAGTCGTGACATCCACAGCAAGATTTGGAAGGCCTTCGACGGTATCTGCTCTTTTGATGCTTGCTCCCGAGGGTCTAGCTGGGAAGAAAGTATATCATCCAAGGGGTGACCAATATCGTCTTTGCGAACCACAAGGTCGAGGTGGGATGATTTGGCAATGAAAGGCTCTGGCGCAGACTGCACATGTTTGTAAAAATCATCCCATCGGCAACGAGCACTTCCGCATTGTATCCAAGGGCTTCGTGAGAATAGCAATTCCTGGAGTACCCATACCCTGGTGAACCACACTTGACCGAGGAACTCATGAGATGCCAGCGTCCAAAGTTCATTACAAGTACCCATAGCTATAACACTCTTGGAGAATCCTTTCCTTACGTTTCCGTTGGAGATCCTCAAGGCATCGAGGAATAGCTCGGCTTCGGGAGTTGACGAAGGGAAGAAAATGATTGTGTGGGCTGCACAAGCATAGATAGGTCCCATGTGCCTGACCTGTTGCGTGCGTTCAGCGATATCGGCTTGGTTAATACAGATTGCATCTGCCCAAAGCCGTGCAACTCCATCTCTGGACCGGATATGGCGAAGTGCTGTGTCCAGGGTAGCAGTGATTTCGAGGGTCTTTTCATCAACCAAGACCGTTCGGGTGTCGTTTGGATCTCCCCAGACGTAAGAGATGGCCGTATAGGTATTGATAACATCGTCCTCGCACTCGGTCAGGCTCGTGTGAAGCAACTCGCATCGTACCTGAGCCTCTAGATCGGTTGATGGATGCAACTTAATGAGGCGAATGGCGTCGGAGCCATTGAGTCCGTGGTATTGATATTTCTCAACACTATCCATCATGCGGAGAGTTGAACGAAATTGATGAACATGGTGGCAAACGTCCGAATGTTGAAGAAAACGTAAAACTTGGAAGATTGATTTGCCTTCGAAATTTAGCGGAAGCTAAATAAGAAGGTTCTTCGAAGATGTGAGAACACGCGGCCTTCGGCAAAACGTTAATCCTAAAAATTACTAATCTTCATGATCCTTGCACAAACCCTTTTGACTGGTATCCTCTCTTCAATCCGGTCTTGGCGTTTTCCCCAAAATGTTTCAACACTTGGCATCAATATTATCACGTGTTAGCTTATAAGGGTGCCTTGTGAGGGGTAAAATTCGCTTAAGCCTCAGGCACACGTTTCGCTTAATTATGGCGCTAAGGAGTATTTAGCCTCGCTCCCAAGTTTCTACGAGCTTCACGCTTCTCTTCTGGAATTAATCGTAATTCTAGAAATCTCTTGTATTCGTACGTAACGTGAATTTGTCCCGGTTATTCGTCAACCTGGTACATGGTTCACTTCTGCCTATTTGTCCTCTGGATCTTCACTATAGGGAGCTGAGCTAAGTGGCGTGTTAGTTGCATGCAGAGAACAGCCGACGTGTGATCTAGGCTCGCGCTCTGCAGCCCCTTTATTCGTCAAATGAATTCTTCCTGAAGAAAGACGGTCCTAAAACACGCTAAAATCGCGGCTCGCTTAATCCAGCCAATGAGAGAAAGTCACGTATAACCCCAGTAGCATCAAAATATTAACTCACTATATATAACTTCATAAATTACAACTATAATAATACCACGATCTACGAATTAAAAGAGCCCTTTAAGACTATCAAAATGCCGTAGCGCTTTACTTTCCCCTCTGGACTAGTCATGTAAGGCTAGAGCTAGCTTATTCTATAATATTAAAGTAATATATAAGGCTAAAATATTTCTCTTATCTTTAATTTTCTTTAAAAATTACGAGAATCTAATCTTATATCTCTTTATAATAAACTAAATTTCTTTTATTTTCTTTTTCCTATTTCCTTTAGTTCCTAAATAAGAAACTAATATAATATATAGAGCAAATATATTTCTAAAGAAAAATAATAGTATTATCTAGTATTTAAATACTATAAAGTATTATTTATATTATAAAAGTAGTATTTCTATTAATATAAGTTCCCTAAATTTAGCCTTAATATTTCTCGAAATTTTCGAGAATTTCTTATTAATATATTATATTTTAGGTCCCTTAATTATTCTTTTATAAGAATTATCTTTATTATAGCTACTATTATAAAGAGGTCTTTTTTAAAGCCTATTTTATTTATTATAGATAATTAGGCCCTAATTCTATTATTAATATACTAAATACTTTACTCAAAAATATTTATAATATAATTCTTTTTTTTATAAGATTAGCTCGGCTCTATTTTAATATATATTAATTTCTAAATATTTAAAATTATCTAGCTAGTATTTAAAATAATAAAATTAATAATATAATTATTAATTTTTAGGTTTAAGGAAGTTTAGAGCTAGAATTAGAATTTAGAATTTGCTTTTAAAATATTTCTAATTCTTTATAATTATTAAAGAATTATAATAAATACTAAATTTGAGCTAAAAACTACTTTCTTTTAAATGTCTTTTTTATATAATATTAATTTTTCGAAATTCTTTGAAATTTTCGAAGTAAATTGTTATTATTTATAAATATTAATTTAAAATATAAGTTATATAAGTCTTTAAACTAAGCTTATATATAATATTTAATAATAAAAACTTAATTAAGAGATTTAATAAAAAAAATTTTAAAAGAAATCTAAAAATTTATAAAATATTATATAATAAATAATTGTACAATAAATAATTATATAATAAATAATTATATAATTATAAATAAATATAATATAATATAAGCTTATATATAAAACTTAATAATAAAAACTTAAATAAAATAATTTCTTTAAAATTAGAATTTTATTATAATATAAAAAGAAAAATTACTTAAATTTCTTTCTTATTATTATTAATTTTATTATAATATAAAAGAAAAATTCTTTTAAATTCTTTTTTTATTATTATTTATTATTATTTTAAAATTTTATTATAATAGAAGAAAATAATTTCTTTAAATATCTCTTTTATTATTATTTATTTTATTTTAAGATTTTATTATAATATAAAAAAATAATTTCTTTAAACTTCTTTATTATTATTATTATTAATTTTATTTTAATATTTTATTTTAATATTTTATTTTAATATTTTATTTTAATATTTTATTTTAATATTTTATTTTAATATTTTATTTTAATATTTTAATATTTTATTTTAATATTTTATTTTAATATTTTATTTTAATATTTTATTTTAATATTTTATTTTAATATTTTATTTTAATATTTTAAGATTTTATTATAATATAAGAAAATAATTTCTTTAAATTCCTCTTTTATTATTATTTATTTTATTTTAAGGTTTTATTATAATAAATAACCTGGTATTACACCCCCCGGATTTAGCGGCCCCCCGATTGGGCAAGGCGTACATACGGGCCCGCCGCCGCTTTCGACATCTATAAAGACCGTATACTGCCCCCCTCTATAATCATCCTCCTCTCCCATCCTTTCCCAACACCTCCCGTCGCCCGGCCGCTCGGTCTCGTTATACGCCTACCTTCCTCCTAACTACTGCCACCTCCATCGGCCTTACCGTAGCTGAGGACCCTGGGCGACATATGGTTTAAAGCCAGACTCCTCGATTTCCTCGATCTCCCACTCTATTTTTGATACTCGTTAGTATCTGCAACGGCGACCTATCCTCCGAATCATATTGTACTGGCCGAGATACGAGCCTTAAGCTTAATCTCTATACCATTCTCCCACTCGCCGTCATACTATTACGACCCTCAACCGCAGTGCTTGTCGGTGCCCTGCGATAGCGGGCTCTATATACAGCGGGCTCTGTGTGTTACGACCATAGCCAATCAAGAAAATGCCGTACGGCGACATGGCCGGCTATTGCCTGGCTATACCGCAGGATTAATGGTATTGTCCAGTGTGCGGTAGCGCCTCGGTAAGCTCTCCTAACCCCAGTAGAGGATAACGGATTTGCGTTTGCGTACCCGGACTCAAGGGCTGATCTGCAACGAGAAGGGCCGATCTCTGCATACATAGCAGGAGGAGATTGGGTACTTGGAGTTCTCAGAAGGGCTCTAATATCCTGCAGTTTGAAATCTCAAGTGCCCTTTCTTTCGAATATTATTATACGACTCTGCCCGTAGATATATCTGTAGCTGCGATTCTCGTTCCCTTTGTCCAAGCTGGCTAATATAGGGATAGAGAGATAAGGGAGCCTATTTCAGGTCCGAAATGGGCGGGGCGGGAGAGCAGGAATTTGCAGATCCCCTTATAATCTCTCGATTGGCGGTAATATTTTGTTAGATATATGGGTGAGACGGGCAGGCGGCAAAATACAGGTAGATCTGGAGCCTTCTAACCTCGGGGCTCTATAATATCTAACCCTTATATTCCTGGTAGAATAAGTCGGATGCCTTAGGGCCTATATAAGAATCGTTTCCTCTACTAGCTGGTACTAAAAAATATATTAACCGATCGGTTTTCTTGGTCCAGGAAGGTTGTATAGATTTAGCTCTATATAGAATAGTGGGTTGAATTACATTTAGTATTAAATACTACCTTACGGGCGGCCTTCTCTAACCCTAGTAAAGCAAGGCGTATCTTATAGAGTATAGGGAATAGAGGCTAAGAAAAGGAGGGCCCGAAAGGGGTTTCATATATTATACCGTTTCTTGCAGTATTTTGGGTAGATAGGAAATAGGCTAGCAATAATAATATAGTAGTTATAAGCAGCAAATGAATATAAGAGGGCAAGGTAGAAGAACGGGCCTATTTTTAGTTCTAGTATTACCTATAAGCCGGCTATATAAACCTTTTATATCTTCTATTTCTTTAATAAAATTACAGATTATAAAATTAGTAATTTTACTAAGATCTCAATTTCTTATTTATTTCAAATTCTCTTATTATAGCTACTATTAATTTAAGTTATATTTAATTAATTTAGTAGCCCTCTTTGAAACTAATATTCTCTAAATTTTATACTATATTATATAAAAATAAAAATAAAAATAGCAGATTTGGCCTAATAACTAGCTTATATAGCTAGCTAGTATTACTATATAATAAAGCAGACGAAATACTCGAATATAATAAGCAGTTCGAGTCTGCTATTATTCCGGCTTAGTATTAGAAGTATAATTCTGCTTTTTAGTAGAAAAGTAATATAATTAGAGCTTAAAATATAATAAGAGAGGATTCTAAGAATAAATCTGGCTAATCTATTATATATAGGCTACTATAATAATCCGGCAAACGGTAATAGTAAAGCAAATAACGATTTTTCTTTAATTAATAAGCTTCTGGCTTTTTAGAATAAGGGAATCTTAATAATATTCCAGAACTCTATAGATATTTTTTAGTATTTTAAAGGGCTTACTTTTAATATAAATAGAAGCTGTCTTAATCCGAATTCCAGATCAGATAATAATATAGATAATAGCTAAGGTACTCGAAATATATATTCTAGCTTTCTATTATTATATATTAAGTAGCCTTCTAATTCATATATAGAAAAGCTAGTAGTTCTCGAAATAACAAGTCAGATATTTTCGAACCCGTACCTGAAATTACTGCCATTTATATCTCGGTTAATACTAGTATTAATTCTGCCTCCGGATTAAATAAAGGGCTATAATAAGATATTAAAAACAAGTACTATATTAATAATAACTTCTACTTAATTCCTTTATTAGAATAGAAAGATTTGGCTTTAATACCCGTACTAGCCTAGCTTTACTCTTATTATAATTCTCTTAAATTCTTATAAAACCAGATTATCTAATATAATAATAGAATAGAAGATATATTAAATAAACTAGTATTTCTTATTCTATTTTAGCTATTAAGCGAGAATAATAGAGAAGGAAATAATAAAAATGCCTCTAAGCTTAAAAGAAATATATAACTAGTTTTCAAAAAGCAAAAAAAGCTATTATTA